TTTTATCTCTCATTCCATGTATTTTACCAAGCTACTCTCCAGCCCAAGAGAATTGGTATTGTAGACTGTTCTTTATTTATTTGCTTACTTATTGAGTGCTGGGAATTGATGCCATGGACATGCTCATGCTTAGTTATCTTCCAGAAAAAAATTTCAATTTGTGAGCAACGTTCTGGAGGTAGGCAGGTGTTTTACTGGGGAATAAACCTACAGGCACTCGACCACTGAGCACATCCTCAGCCCTTCTTCTTATTTATTTCTTTTCTTTTTTTAAAAAAATATTTTGTATAGTTGTAGATGGATAGAATACCTTTATTTTATTTATTTTTCTGTGGTGCTGAGGATCATACCCCGTGTCTCACACATGTTAGCAAGTGGTCTGCCACTCAGCTACAGTCCCAGAGCCCCTTTTATTTTTGATAAAATAAAAATTTAGTCTCACTGAATTTCTGAGTGTCTTGCTATGTTGCTGAGACAGGCCTCAAACTTTTGCCATTTCCCTGCCTTGACCTCCCTAGTGGCTGAAATTACAGGTGCACACCACTACACCAGCAGTTGGAATGAGTTTTGAAGACTTATCATCCAATTTCTTTCCAGATGAAAATAGTATTGAAAATCAGTTTTCTTGCTTTTGTTCATACTTTTGAAATTTGTAACTACAACTCTTCCTCTTTGCTTTATTTTTGCATTATTATGAAAAAGGTATTTAGCATATTAATATTGTTTGTTATGTATACATTTTTAAAACTTCATGGCTTGATAGTTTATTTATTAGATAAACTTTGTTTTTATGAGCAATTTTAGGCTTACATAGTTTATTAGTCAGTGTTCTCCAGAGGAAAAGTATCAAGAGGAAGTATGATTATCAAAGGGGATTCATTAGATTGGCCTACTTGACCCGAAGGTGGATGTCCAGAGTGTCCATCTGCAGGCTGGAGAGCTTGAGAAGTAGTAGATGCAGAGTCCCAGAGGCTGAAGCCTGAGAACAAGGGGGATCAATGGTGCTGCCTTAGTCCAGACCAAAGATTCTGGAAACTCACTAGAGAATCACTGGTAGAGTCCACTTTGGGAGAGTGAAGAATTTTGTTCCACCCAAGACACCGTCCTATTGGATGGTGCGGCATAGTTTAAGGAGGTTCTCCAGTTTGGCTCACTATCCCATATGCCAATCATTTGTAGACATACCCTCATGGACACATCCAGAAGCTCATTAATCATTGGCATCTTTTAATCCAATCAAGGTAACAATTAAATGTGCCATTACACATAGTATCAAATACCCCTTTTCTCCAGCTGATAGTCTCCACTGTTTTCAACATATTGCATTGGTGTAGGGTGTTTGTTAGTTACTAAACCCATGTTGAACATTTGATAAAGAGAATGGATGAAGCAACATTTAGGATAAGCCAAAGTTCATCCTTTACTTTAGGGTTCCTCTTCCTTGTGATGTGATTGTGTGTGTCACGTCGTATACAAGATAATGTCATACAGAAGAGTTTCACTGCTCTGGGAATCCAGTGTTCCACCTGTCCATCACTCCTCCTCATTCCTTCCTCCCTCTCTGCTCCCTAAGTCCCTGACACCCATCAGTTCTGCTAGTGCATCTCTAATGTTGTCTTTTCCAGAATGTTCTTGACTTGGAATCTTCCTGCACTTGGCCATTTCAAACTGGCTTCTCTCACTTACCTGTCTGCCTTTAAGGGTGCTGTATCTTTCCAGGCTGAGAGCTCATTTTCTGGGTGATGCTCTTTGGTGTGGTTAAACTGCAGCTTGTCCATTCAGTATTGAAAGGTGCATCTTCCTTGCATCTAGCTTTGGGCCGTTCTGGATATGGCTGCTGTAGTCACTGCAGTGAGGGTTCCTGTGCCCATAATTTTCACATCATTTGCATAGACACCTGGAGTGTGATGAGTTAATTGTACAGTTTTTTGCATTTATGATTCAATTTTGCATTTATGATTATGAGCATGCTTCATAGTCTTCTTTTCTATTTAATACTTTTCTTTATCTATTTAATTTGGATAATATGGTAACTTATGCCTCAGGAAGACTTAGGAGGTGTTAACTCAGCTTTTATGTTCTGGAAAAAAAGTAGAAAACTGGTGGCAGTTCTTATGTGCCTCATGGAAGCCCGTTTGAGATGTCAGAGCCTTGCCTTGCCTTTTTGGGAAGTAATTAGTTATTGAGTCTGTTTTTTTCAGCAGCCATGGGCTCATCTGTTTTGTGTATTTCCCCTTGTGTGTAAGTTGTAGGAGATTGTCTCTCTCAAAGAAATGGTCCAGTTTCTGCAGTTGTCTAATTTGTGTCAAGCAGGTTTATGAGAATCTTGAAGTCCCAATGCATTGTTGATGATGACATTTTTAAATCTGTTAGTAGGTTTTCAGTCCTCGATGCTTTTTTCTTTAATGTTATTGTATATTTTACAGTTTTATTTCTTTCTTTTTATGTGGCAGTGAGGATTGAACCCAGTTTCTCCCAAGCACTAGGCAAGCCACAACCCCAGTCCCTGTCCTCTGTATTCTTAGCCTTTTGTCAGTTAATCAGTGATGCTGATGTTCATGAAGAACTTGATTTGCAGACTGCGGATTTCCAAATTGTGGTTTCATCAACACCTTCTCTGTTACCTCCCTGTGGTTAATTTAGGTTTACCTTGTTCTTCTTTCTCTGGTTTTCTGAAGTGGCAGTTTCATTGGTTGCTTTTAGCTCTTCTTTTCTGAAATGTGTGTTGGATGACTTAGATACCAATACAGTGCCACCTCTGGTGTTCTCTATGAATTTCCTATGATGGACTTTTACATTTTTTTCTTTCAAAATGGTTACCTTTTCTCTTGAGTCACCTCTTTGTCCTGTGTCTGTTCAGAGCCCTGTGTTTCATGTCCCCTTCCCTGGAGGCCTTTCAGCTTCTTCTGATCTGATTTCTGCTTTAGCTCTCATGTTCTTTGAGCATACATGGGATTTCACTGGCGGTGCACTTGTAGGGGTATGGTTTATGTCCTGTAGAGTGTTGCTGTGATCCTGAGACCTCAGTGTGCTTCCCGTTTGGTTGAAGGTCCATGAAGCCCTCCTGTCTGCATCATTGTCCTGACAGAGTTGGGCTGATGTCTCTGAGGGTAATTTTGGATTCTTCGTTGTTTGGGGTGGTTCTGTATGTTTTCAGTCTTTGAGTATGCTTCTGTGTAAGTGGCAGGGACATTTCCTTTTTGTCTGTCCTTCACGGTGCAGACATCATAGCATGCTTACAGATGTGAATGGTGGCCTCTTTCACACCCAGACTGTGTGGGATAGTTCAGAATCCTGGGCTACAAACTTGTTGCTTTACCACACTGTGGAAGAGCTTCTGCCTTAGGTTTGTTTGCACCACCATTGCTACAGGCACAATGAATCTGTTTCACCACAGACAACCATTGCATATGTGGCCCAACCTTGATCAAAATGTCCTTGAGCAGAACATTGGTATATGTCTCATGACTGTATATTATGGTAGTGATTCGGCTGCTGTTAAGAAGAGTTTGACAATCATTGGACATTCATTGTTGCAGTGAGACTTAGAAAAGTAGTGCTTGCTGTTTATTAAGAAGATTGTTTTGCGAGTTATAAAACTTTGTAAGGCTGTTGTTTGGACAAGGTGAGTTTTTTTTTTTTTTTTTTTTTTAGAGAGAGAGAGAAGAGAATCTTTTTAATATTTATTTTTTAGTATTCGGTGGACACAACATCTTTGTTTGTATGTGGTGCTGAGGATCAAACCCGGGCCGCACGCATGCCAGGCAAGCACGCTACTGCTTGAGCCACATCTCCAGCCCTTGGTGACATTTTTGGGTCATTGAGTTATTTCTAAGACACGGGCCATCTTTCCACTTACCCCATTCTGGTTTGACAGTAACCACAAGAAATTATCAAATTGTTGTGTTTATTAATAAATAAATTAATCAAATAGAGAACTCATGTTTGTTTTGGTCCTTTAATAGTAAGCTAGTTGACTAAATTTGTTCTGGAGTACAGCACCTGCAAACTTCCAGTTGTTCTTAGTGTAATCACACAGAATGAGCTCAGTCTCCAGTTAACACATTGTGACCAGCTGTGTGAAATGTTGTCTAAATGTTGTCTATGAAGGAATCTCCTTAGTGACCCCATGCCCAGAGGGTGGGAGTGTGGGCTGGTTCTAGGCATTTCTTTAAGTATGGAACAATAGACTTTCAGAGGAAACAAGACATCAGTAAATACCATGTTGCCTATATTAACCTTGTAGGTACTGGCAGCCACTGTAGTTGGCAGAATCTCTCTCAAATGCTTAGTTTCATGATTCCTGCATTTTTCTACTCATCACCTTTCTTTTCTAAAGATAAGTCCTATCAGGAGTGTTTATATTAGCTCTGTACCACACAGGACATTTCTAGGACATGTAACAGAGGTGCAACCATTAAAGAAGTTAGGAGTGATCTGGGAGTCTGTCTTACTTCCTGTGAACTCACCAAAGGAAGGGTATAAATCACTATGATGTTTGCCTTCTGAGTAGCCAATTTCTAGTGTTGGAATGGGTGTAAGAAATTGAGTGCAGTAAAGATTTGATGGACCAAATCATGGAATTAATCAGGAGGCCAGGGAATCATGTGAACATCATGCATGTTGAGTGCAGATTTCTCATGCTGTCATTCTCTTCTGGCCTTCACTATACATTTGTGGGATATTTTAGATCTCAGTGACCTTTGAGGATGTGGCTGTGAACTTCACCAAGGAGGAGTGGTCTTTTCTGGATGCTTCCCAGAAGAACCTTTACAGAGATGTGATGCTGGAAGTCCTCAGAATCCTGGCTTGTATAGGTAATAATGTTGGTTTTAAAATTAATCAAATAGAGAACTCATGTTTAATATTTTGGTCATTTATGTAGAAGGTGAAAAGGAAATCAGTTGGTGAATTATTGAAGCATAAATGGCACCTAAAATTTGGCAAAGCATTTCTAGCTCCTAAATATTCATAAAGATTGTTATGTTCTCTCATTTTAGGAAACAAGTGGGAATACAGGACCACTGAAGATCAGATTGAAAGCTCTGGAAGCAACCTAAGGTAACTGTACTCACAAGAGGAATTTGTGAGGGAATCTGAGAACTGTCATAAAATTTTTAAAGCAATCCAACCGAAGAAGTATGCATAATGTGAAATGTATTTATTCTTATAATATTTTTTTAACCAGAAATATATACTTATCTGTAACAGGTATTCAGTCTTTTCAAAGTATTTGACATGCAAAAAGTACTATGAAATTGCATATGTGAATATCAGTATGTGAATAATAGCCAGAGAAGGTGTGTTGCAAAGGATTGTTTCCTTTCAATCTCTTTATTTTCAGGCAACTTTAACAAGTCAGAAAATCTAGCCTTTACCTGATGTTGGTAGAAATGTAAAGACCTATAAATAAATAGAAAATTGTGAATGAGTTAGGTATCAATTATGTGCTGGTCACTTCTTCTTCAAAGAAGTCCTATGGTAAACTTCAAACTTTCCCCACAGAATAGTGTGGGGAAAGCTTCAAATTGATTCCAATTCTTAATGAAACAAAGAAAAATTTTAATAGAGTAAATCCATGTGACTTCATTATGTGTGCAAAAGATTTCATATGTCCTTCATTCCTTCATAGGCACATCACATCTCACTCTGGACAGAAATACTATAAGCATGAGGAATGTGAAGAGAAGCCATGTGAATTTAAACAATATAGGAAATCTGTGGTTTCTCTGAAAAGTGTTCACACACAAATGTTGTTCCAAACTGGAGATAGACCACATGAAAATACAGTATGTGGGAAAGTCATCAGTTGTTCCAGTGACATTCAAAGACATGAAGAAACTCATACTGGGTGGCAACCCTATGAATGTCAACAATGTGGTGAAGCCTCTTCTTCTCTCCCAGGTGTTCAAAGACACATGATAACACACAGTGGAAGTAAACCTTTTCAATGTGAGGTATGTGGGAAAGCCTTTCATTTCTCCTCTTTATTTAGAAGACATGAAAGAACTCATTCTGGAGAGAAACTCTATGAATGTAAACAAGATGGTCGAACCTTTATTTCACACCCAAGTCTTCAAAAGCACAGGATCACACACACGGGGAATGCACATTTCAAATGTAAGGTATGTGGGAAAGACTTTGCTTATCCCAGATTACTTAGAAGACATCAGAAAACACATACTGGAGAGAAGCCCTATGAATGTAAGCAGTGTGGCAAAGCCTTTGGTAGATCTGGTGACCTTCATGTACATGAAAGAACTCACACTGGAGAGAAGCCCTATGAATGTACGCAGTGTGGGAAAGCCTTTGCTACATCCTGTCTGCTTCATACACATGGAAGAATACATACTGGAGAGAAGCCTTATGAATGCAAACAATGTGGAAAAGCCTTTACTGCATCCTATGAGCTTAAGAGACATGGAAGAACACATACTGGAGAGAAGCCCTATGAATGTCAACAATGTGGAAAAGCCTTTGCTAGATCTGGTGACCTTCACACACATGAAAGAACTCATACTGGAGAGAAGCCCTATGTATGTAAGCAGTGTGGAAAAGCCTTTGCTGCATCCCATCAGCTTCACGCACATGGAAGAACACATACTGGAGAGAAGCCTTATGAATGTAAGCATTGTGGAAAAGCCTTTTCTAGTTCTAGTTACCTTAACATTCATGAAAGAACACACACTGGAGAGAAGCCCTATGAATGTAAGCAGTGTGGAAAAGCCTTTGCTAGATCTAGTCACCTTCAGATTCATGGAAGAACACACACTGGAGAGAAGCCCTATGAATGTAAGCAGTGTGGCAAAGCCTTTGCTAGATCTAGTCACCTTCAGATTCATGGAAGAACACACACTGGAGAGAAGCCCTATGAATGTAAGCAGTGTGGAAAAGCCTTTGCTAGATCTAGTCACCTTCAGATTCATGGAAGAACACACACTGGAGAGAAGCCCTATGAATGTAAGCAGTGTGGCAAAGCCTTTGCTAGTTCTAGTTACGTTCAGATTCATGGAAGAACACACACTGGCGAGAAGCCCTATGAATGTACGCAGTGTGGGAAAGCCTTTGCTACATCCCGTCTGCTTCATACACATGGAAGAATACATACTGGAGAGAAGCCCTATGAATGCAAACAATGTGGAAAAGCCTTTACTACATCCTATGAGCTTAAGAGACATGGAAGAACACATACTGGAGAGAAGCCCTATGAATGTCAACAATGTGGAAAAGCCTTTGCTAGATCTGGTGACCTTCACACACATGAAAGAACTCATACTGGAGAGAAGCCCTATGTATGTAAGCAGTGTGGAAAAGCCTTTCCTAGATCTTGTGACCTTCACACACATGGAAGAACTCATACTGGAGAGAAGCCCTATGTATGTAAGCAGTGTGGAAAAGCCTTTGCTGCATCCCGTCAGCTTCATACACATGGAAGAACACATAGTGGAGAGAAGCCTTATGAATGCAAACAATGTGGAAAATCCTTTGCTGCATCGCATCAGATTCACGCACATGGAAGAACACATACTGGAGAGAAGCCTTATGAATGTAAGCAGTGTGGAAAAGCCTTTTCTAGTTCTAGTCACCTTCAGATTCATGGAAGAACACACACTGGAGAGAAGCCCTATGAATGTAAGCAGTGTGGCAAAGCCTTTGCTAGATCTAGTCACCTTCAGATTCATGGAAGAACACACACTGGAGAGAAGCCCTATGAATGTAAGCAGTGTGGAAAAGCCTTTGCTAGATCTAGTTACATTCAGATTCATGAAAGAACACATACTAGAAAGAAACCCTTTGGATGTCAACAATGTGGAAAAACATTTGCTTCATCCCGTCGTCTTCACATACATGGAAGAATGCATACCGGAGAAAAGCCCTATGAGTGTGAACAATGTGGAAAAGCCTTTACTGCTGCCTATTGCCTTCAGATACATAAACGAACTCATACTGGAAAGAGGCCCTATGAATGTAAGCGGTGTGGGAAAGCCTTCACTCAGTCCTCTCACCTTCACTCACATGAACAAACTCATACTGTAGAGAAGCCCTATGATTGTAAGCAGTGTGGCAAAGCTTTTGCTAGTTCTTTTAAACTTCAAAGACATGGAAGAGTGCATACTGGAGAGAAGCCGTATGAATGTAAGCAGTGTGGCAAAGCCTTTGCTAGTTCTGGTTACCTTCACATACATGAAAGAACTCATACTGGAGAGAAGCCCTTTGTATGTAGGCAGTGTGGCAAAGCCTTTGGTAGATCTGGTGACCTTCACATACATGAAAGAACTCATACTGGAGAGAAGCCCTATGTATGTAAGCAGTGTGGCAAAGCCTTTGCTACATCCCGTCAGCTTCAGAAACATGGAAGAACACATACTGGAGAGAAGCCTTATGAATGCAAACAATGTGGAAAAGCCTTTGCTACATCCAGTCAGCTTCATGCACATGGAAGAACACATACTGGAGAGAAGCCTTATGAATGTAAGCATTGTGGAAAAGCCTTTTCTAGTTCTAGTTACCTTAATATTCATGAAAGAACACACACTGGAGAGAAGCCCTATGAATGTAAGCAGTGTGGAAAAGCCTTTGCCAGATCTAGTCACCTTCAGATTCATGGAAGAACACACACTGGAGAGAAGCCCTATGAATGTAAGCAGTGTGGAAAAGCCTATGCTAGATCTAGTCACCTTCAGATTCATGGAAGAACACACACTGGAGAGAAGCCCTATGAATTCAAACAATGTGGAAAAGCCTTTGCTACATCCAGTCAGCTTCATGCACATGGAAGAACACATACTGGAGAGAAGCCTTATGAATGCAAAGAATGTGGAAAAGCCTTTGCTCTGTCCCATCAGCTTCATGCACATGGAAGAACACATACTGGAGAGAAGCCTTATGAATGTAAGCAGTGTGGAAAAGCCTTTGCTAGTTCTAGTTACCTTCAGATTCATGGAAGAACACACACTGGAGAGAAGCCCTATGAATGTAAGCAGTGTGGAAAAGCCTTTGCTAGATCTAGTCAACTTCAGATTCATGGAAGAACACACACTGGAGAGAAGCCCTATGAATGTAAGCAGTGTGGCAAAGCCTTTGCTACATCCCGTCAGCTTCAGAAACATGGAAGAACACATACTGGAGAGAAGCCCTATGAATTCAAACAATGTGGAAAAGCCTTTGCTATATCCTATCAGCTTAACAGACATGAAAGAACACACACTGGCGAGAAGCCCTATGAATGTCAACAATGTGGAAAAGCCTACACTACTGCCTTTTACCTTCGGATGCATAAATACACTCATACTGGAGAGAAGCCCTATGAATGTAAGCAGTGTGGCAAAGCCTTCACTCAGTCCTCTTACCTTCACTCACATGAACAAACTCATACTGGAGAGAAGCCCTAAGAATGTAAGCAGTGTGGCAAAGCCTTTGCTAGATCCAATGACATTCACAGACATGGAAGAATGTATACTGGAGAGAAGCCCAATGAATGTCAACAACGTGGAGAAGCCTTTGCCACATCTTGTCTGCTTCACACATGTGAAAAAACACATACTGCATAGAAATCGTATGCATGAAAACAATTGGTAAACTCTTGTGTTATCACTGTTTCACTCATATACATGTAGGGAGTTTACTGGAGAAAAATCCTTTGAATGTGAAATATGGTAAATCAATATTTCATGTCATCCTCAAAGACAAGAGGGGCTCACAGTGCTGAAAATGTGTGTGTGTGTTTGTGTGTATGTGTGTGTGTGTGAGATAGAGATCGATCATCAATCGATCCACTGGGGATTTAGTCTGGTGGTGCTCTACCAGTGAGCTGCATTCCAGTTCCTTTTTACTTTTTATTTTGAGACAGGGACTTGCTGAGTTTCTTAGGGTCTTCCTAAGGTGCTGAGGCTACCCTCCAACATTGATTCTTCAGAATCAGCCTCTCGAGTCTCGGGAATTAAAGGCATACACCACCACATCCAACTGAATAACTCTTTAAATGTGAAAAATATCACAAATCATTCCATTTTCCCTGTTGCCTTCAAAGCCATTTCACTCACATTGAAAAACAAACCCTCTGAGTTTAGGGGATTTGCTACATTCTGTCAGCTTCGTTTCCTTTCTTATATATGAAAACACTCATGCAGAGAAGCCCTGTGAATGTGAGAAATGTGGGAAATCTACTAGTTTTCTCATTTTTTTTCCTAAGGACTGGGAATATCGTTTTGGAATAAAAAGAATAAATCCTATGCAAGTAAGATATATAAAGGGTTCAGCCGTTCTAGTTTTGTTCAGTTGTATGAAAGGAGTCATACTGTAGAAAATGCTGAGGATAAGCCATGTGGGGCAGTATTCAGATTTCAGAGTTTTCTCCAAAGGCATAAAAGAATTCACATCTGTGAAAATCCTTTTTCTATCTTTAAAAATTGCAGTAACACTTTCAACTTTCCAGTTCCCTTTGAACAGCATTTAAGCAATCACACTGGAGAAAAGCCCTGTATGTAGAAATGTGGTGAGAACTTTGCTTGTTTCAGATCCATTTGAACTTGTTCAGACTTGAGGAAAATTTTATTTTATTTCATTTTATTTATTTATTTTGAGAAAACCAGTGTAGGTGTTTGAAAATGGTGTGTGCCTTCATTTCTTTTTTCTTTCTTTCTTTTTTTTTTTTTTAAATCTATTCAGAGGTAACAAAACTGCACCCTGGGTTGGAGAGGCGCATTGCATCAGCATGAAGATTTGAAAGCAATATGTTTTTCTGGGTTAAATCTCTCTTATTGTTAGATTCCATTTTCCTGTATCTTAAGTCTTTTGAGTCTAATGTTTCATTACATATTGTGTATGTTAGTTTAGGCCTCTCCACTCCAGGCTTTGGTACAGATTGGTGAAATGGCTCTTCTGAACTTCTTTCTTCTCTTTCTTTGTTCAGATTTCACCCAGGAGTGCTCTACCACTGAGTTTCTCCACAATCCTTTTAATTGTTATTTTTTGATATGGGGTGAGGCTGGCAGCTGGGACCATCGGGATGTGTCTGTGTACCCTGCAGCTGGCCTCTTCCTTTTCCTTGATTGCTTATTGATCTATTGATGACTCTGGGACCATCACACTTGTCACTTGTGCTTGTTCTAAGGCTCATGTATTGTGCTGTATGTAGGCACATTAAAGAGCATTATAAGATAATATCATTTGTGTATATTGTTTGGAGAGGCACTTTCTCAAAATATATTTTGCCCTATACTTGAGTTGCTTTCTCTTTTCTTTTCCCAGTTCTGGGGACCGAATCCTGCCTTGTGCATGCTAGGCAGGCATTCTAGCATTGAATGCTCCGTGGCTCAGGTGGTGAGTTTGCTGCTGCTGTGAGTGTGGACCCCACTGATAACCACATTAGCAGATGCAGCTCTGCAGGTGTTTCCTCCACAATTGCAGCTGATCTCTTCCTTCTTAAAGGTCTTTTATACCAGTGAATTTTTTTTAAAAAAACTACATCCAGTTTAGGTTTTCTCCCCATGAATGATACTTAGGTGGAATATGCAGAAAACCCAGGCTTGATTTCTCTCTGTGTTTAGAGTACCTCAGTAGCCCTGGTAAAATTGTGTGATGGTTTTCTTAATACACACTGCATGACCAAAGGCTTGATAAGGAGCATCCCAGTCTGATGTCCTAATTCAGCGGCACTCTCTTCTCCACCAAATAATCTTAAATAAATTCTCAAGAGACCTTCACCATAATTTTCTTTCAAGGGAATGTCAGGAAAAGATTTTGCAAAGATCTCAATGTGGGTTATAACACAGACTTCTGCTTTTGTGGCAAAGCTTGGAAGTCCTCTGACAAATCTTAAAATTGATACACAAATCACTTTCTGTGAACTAATCAAAACAAACAAACATACAAAAAAACACCTTTATGTATACCCCTACAAAAAATATAAACCTCCATCCCTGTCCCACTGGATGTAAATAAAGATCAATGAAATTCAAAGCAGTGATCCAAAAAATTTTGTGATACCCCTCAGAACCCTGCAGCTAATCAATGTGCTCCTGGAACATGCCTTGGGTGTCTAGCCTCATGTGCCCTACATCACTAATAAAGCTACAGCCTCCAATCAGGTGATATTGTGCAGTACTTGCTGTGGAGAGGGCTGTTTCTGCTCAGGCTAAAGGATTCAGTTACTTGTCCTAAGGATTCAAAGCCTCCTGAGCAAAACCTCACCCACAACGTATTCAGGTGTCATGGATCTTGTGTGATCATTGGTGCGAGTTCCTTACATACTTGTGTCCAAATATTGAAGTTTGCCAACATGCCAAAGATGGGTTGATTGTCACTGCTACCTCTGTTGCAGCCATTTGCTGTGTCTCAGTGTTTATTTGGAAAGGAAGGCCAAAAGAGTGTGCTGTGGCCCTTTTGTTTTTGATAAATACAGCCTAAGCCATCCAGTAAAACTTCATTAAAAGATAGTTTTGAACGCTTCCCAGGATTTCCAAAAACTTTCTTTGCAGCTAATGAGTCAGTGTGGCAATTTCCTAGTTTTACATTTTTGATTTAGTAGAAATATTGCATAGAGTTGTGTGAGCACTTGATGCAGTCTGGACTTCATTGTAATAAATCCATTTGCCAAAGGCAGTAGTTGCAGGCTTGTTCCTGGGCAGTGTGAGGGCTGGAGTGAATGCAACTGTCCTGGGGTGTGGGCATTGTTTGTAGGAGTTCAGTCATGGTGAGTACATCAGTTTAGGAATCAGACTCCTAGGAGGGCTACATAATCTCCTGACAGGACCTGCCTGTCCCTTTTGGACAATAGTGTTGTCATGTGAGCTGGCAGGTGGATGGTTACCTTCTGATGGATTTGGGTTTGTAGCTGAGCAAATAGTGAGAATGTACAATGATTAAATGAGAATTAAAATATTCTTTGTGATACCAAAGACATAATATGGGGGCCAAACAAAATAACAAGTAACCTCTTGGACCTTGAATCACATATTTTCCTTCATGTATGCATTTTCTTACAAACTTTTGTAGTGTGATGCTTATGTGGAACAAACTGAGATAAACATGGAGAGGTTTATTTAATGGTACAGTGTACTAGAAGTTTTAAAGACTTGCAGGAGGCTTAGATTCCACTATTGTTAAAATTTTATGAAAGACTCTGCAATTCTCAAAATTCTTGAGAATCCTCAGGTGCTGTGGCATACACCTGAAATACCAGTGGCTCAAGATTCTGAGGCAGGAGGATTGTGATTTTTTTTTCACTTTTTTTAAAGAGAGAGAATTTTTTAATATTCATTTTTTAGTTTTCAGTGGACACAACATCTTTATTTTATTTTTATGTGGTGCTGAGGATTGAGCCGAGCACCCCACGCATGCCAGGTGAGCATGCTACCATTTGAGCCACATCCCCCGCCCATCTTTTCATTTTTCTTAAAAATTTATATATATAAATATAAATTTTTTTTCCCTCAGAATCAAACCCAGTGCCTCACACATGCTAGGCACATTGTCAACCACTGAGCCACAACCTTAGCCCAAGGGTTCTGATTTGTAAGGTTGTCTCCCTGGATAACAAGGAGTAAAGAACTCAGTGAGACCCTGTCTCTAAGAAGTAACTCAAATAATAAATAAAAAAGAAGGCTGGGAGGTGGCTGAGTGCCACTGAGTTTGATTCACAGTACCCCGAAGAAAAATGCATTAGGAACCAAGTTTTAATAAACCGTATGATGGGTGGATGGGCTTGTCCATAATATTGTTTTCTTCTTTGGATTCTCAGGCATGGTTTACTAATTCAGGAACTCTGTAAAATTCACCAATTCAATAAAAGCAAGTGTATGGTTTTAAAAAATAATAATATAGCAAGGTCCATGAGGGGCCGCTTCCTGCTCTGGGAACCTCAGTAATTGGTAGTCATCACAAGTGGCCATCATGTCCTTATCATAAAGAGTTTGTGAAAGCTTCTATTGTGCAGGAGTCTCTGAAGGTGCTAAAAGTGCCTGTCTTTTCAGATCCTTTTGGTGGAGGAATTCCTTATGGAGGTCTCTGATTTAGAGATGATGTCATTGGGGAGCTCAAGTGAAACTGATAAGTGACGAACACATTGCCACATGGTCCAGGGCAGCCTAAAAGGTGTCAGATTTTCTTGTCTTCAAGGAGTGTGTCAAGCATCCTTGGAGGAGGATGTCAGCAATTTACGATGTGCTCCTGCAAAAACGTCTCTGCTCAGGTCATTTGTGAAAAGCTGATGAGTAGTCTGAAAATTTATTTGGTCCTGTTAGTGATAAGGACAATTTGCATTAGAATGCTATTGAAATAGAGAAAACAGAAAATATTAGCCAATTCTGAGGCGAAAATATATACCAGTTGTGATTAAATGGGATCAGTAATTTTCATTATATTTGGTATTGGGTATGGATACTTACAGACAGGAACAGATCATCAAAGTAGCAGTAATCTACCCAAGGCAAATGTTGAGATAGAGAATATCTGTGTTTCTGTGGTTGGTATTTTATTTTTTCCTCTGTGATGGTCAGTGACTGTGTTTAAACATTTCACGATGCCCAGATAGAACTCTAATTTTTCCATATTTAATGAATTAGAAAATGTTAGACTATTAAATATTCTGAGAAGCACATCAGATTTTATAGGAATTTTTAGTTTCCATATACCTTGTTTTAACATATCAAAAAATATATGAAGTGATTTAATTAGAGACTGATGGTGTTTATTTATTTATTTTTGTTACTGGGGATTGCTGCGGCAAGTGTGGCGAAGCTAGCAGGTTCTGGCAAGGTTTGATGGGACATTGGAAGAAATAAAGAGTCACACATGCAGAAGATACAACATCTGGGATCGTGTAGCACTGCTTTATGATGGAGCAGCAGGTCTAAAGAATTATACCAGGGGGGCTGGGGATGTGGCTCAAGTGGTAGCGCGCTCACCTGGCATGTGTGCGGCACTAGGTTTGATCCTCAGCACCACATATAAATAAAATAAAAGATGTTATGTCCACCAAAAACTAAAAAATATAAATGAACAAATATTAAAAATTATCTCTCTCTTTAAAAAAAAGGAAAAAAAGAATTACACCAGCAATCTTTATTGTATATCTTTCATTGATCATATTAAAGACTATGCAAGCATTATTCTTTGTATTTATGAAAGTTACACAGTTAGCAACGGTATGCAGCTATTTCCTCCGTTACATTCTACAGTTGGAATTTGCAATGTTAAGAGCACTGTGCAGCTCTCAAGAAAGTCCATCCTTTAAAGTTACTTTAAAGCATCCTTTAAAGCAGCAGAACTGGTGAAACATTGTGGTTGACTTAGCAAGGAACTTTGTGCCTGAGAATAAGGTCATAGCTGAAAAGTCTCCCACAACAGAGTCTCCCCCATGGAGAGCATTGCCATAGCAACCGGGCATCGTATACTTTTGCGTAGAAACTTTTCCAGTCACCAAGCATGCCACTGCCATTACATCATTAGAGACCTCCATCTCAGACACTTGTCTCCCAATCACTGTCCTGGTCTCCACAGGGGATTGAACCCAAGGCTGCTTTACCACTGAGCTACACCCTCACCAAGGCTCCCCCTCTTTTTTTCTTTCTTGAGACAGTGGTAGACTCTGTTGCCCAGGCTGACCTTACACTCATCTAAAACTAGAGCAATGTGGTCTCTGAACCTTTACCCCAATGGTAGTCACATTTGCTGGGAACTCAGCTGAAGTGGTTCAATTAAAGTAATGACTTTGGAATTCTATAGGATGTGACTACTGTTTCCAACCCATTCTACCAGGCCTGGTAGAAATTTGCAAGTCCATTTTTATGTCTCCAGATCATAAGAAAAAATATTTTTTCAAATTTTCACAGATGTACCAATATCACACAGACCCTAAGTACTTGGTTTTTAGGGCAGGGATTATGAGAAATTCGTTGGAATTGTGTGGATCCATCCTGCCTTCTGATTTGTCTTCCCTGTTTTCCCTCTGACTCATTATAGTACAGGGGTTCTTAACCACTAAGCCACATCCCCAGATTCTCTTTCATCCCCATGACAGTAGAATGCATATATATATATATATATATATATATATATATATATATATATATATACACACACACACACACACACACACACACACAGTTTGGTATATCATACTTGGATGGGATATCATTTCTCATTTTTCTGAGTGTACATGTTGCAGAATCATATTAGTCATGTAGTCAAATATACACATACAGTAAAGATGTCTGTTTCAATC